CCTGGGGAGGTGGGGGGCGAGCGGCTCAGTGTGAGCGGCTCTGAGCGAAAGCACAGGGGTGTGTGTGAGTGAGTGTGGAAGGGCACAGGGCTCCGTGTGTGTGTTTGTGTGTGCGGGGGCTCAGGGCTGTGCGTGTCCGAGATCACCGCGCACTGCGATGCTCCATGTATTCTGGGGGAGGAGTGGTTGCTCTCCCTCTATGTGCGGCGTCGCTTTCGATGAAAGAACTCCTGCAGGGATTTTGTGAAGATAGAACTCTGTGTCTTGGGCTTGCATTGTTGCAAGGATTTTCCTACACAGACAGTTTATCTTCCTGACAGCATCTGGTTAATTTTCCCTCTCCGTTGCAGGGCACCTCATGCATGGCTACCGAGAATCTCCTCCATTGGTGAGTGGAAAGAAACCTTTGGTGTGTTGCAGTCGCATGCAGCCTGGTGGGCTGAGAGAAAGTTCCTGTCAGTCTTATTGCAGCAGCAGAAGCTAAGGGATCCCTGGCTGTTTTCTCCTTTTCTCTTGAAGAACTTTTAAACAGCTGCAAGAATGATTTTGTAGCCAGAAGACTGCGTGCTGGTTTTAGCCATTTTAGAGTATCAAATTCACAAGCATAAGTGGCAATGTCTGCTTTAGCCCACTGTTAGTTTAAACACCCCAGAATGCTATTTCTCCTTGGTGCAAATGGTTGTATAGCTGATGATAAATAAGGCCATAAATGTGATACAACTTCCTGTCCCTCTGTCTACTGTCTGTCCACAAAGCACAAAAGCTGGGTCTCCTCTAGCTCTGTCTTTCTCCAAAGAGGAGGCCAAAGAGGAGAAAGACAAGAAGGCTGGAGAGGAGGGACAAAGTGAAGTTCCCTCTGTTCTCAGAGACAATGGTGAACTTCCTACTGTTCTTGAAGATGGTGGTGAATTTCCCCCCATTCTGGAAGGTGACAGCAAAGCTCCAGCAGTGTGGATCGAGGGTGGCGAATGTCTTGTGGTGTGGGATGAGGAGTGGGAACATCCTGCAGTGCAGGAAAAAGGACAGCAAAGATCTTGCGGTGTGGGAGGAGGAGGGCAAACATCCAGTGGTGTGTAAAGAGGACGGCAAGCATCAAGCAATGTGGGAAGAGGAGGGACGACATCTCTCTGCATGGTGAAGAGCACCATGAACATCCCAGTGTTCGGGAAGAGGATGGTGAAGCACCACCATTTTGGGAAGAGGACAGCAAACCTTCCTCTGTTGAGGCATCATGGGCTGAGCATTCTGACAGCAGCATAGCCCTGCAGCCAGAGGGGAGAGGAGAGAAGTGCCTGATGCAGCTGAGTATGTCTGCTCTTTGTCTTGTCTGCCAGAGCAGGGTGTGGTGTGTGTGTGAGCATCGGCTGTATTCAGTGTTCCTCTGCAGCTGAATGTCACAGAGTAGTTTATTGCTCTTGCCCACCTGAGTACAAGGGGCACAGAGCCCCAGAGAGTGGGGCTGCATTTTGGCTCTGCTGCAAGGTGGGATCTCCATCTTGCAGTGACTGCCTTTCCTGTTTCTTTCAGGGAGCACTGTGAGAGTGGGGGAGCCTGCCAAGCAACACACTGAAGCTGAGCCAGTTGGCCAAGGGTAGGTTCAAGATACTGATGTTTACACAAGCAGGGGCCAGGTATTTTGCTGGAGGGCAGTAATATCTTTTAGAGCAGGACATACTGGTGTGATCTTAATCTCTAAAAATGTGAAATGTGTCAGCTGGTGGAGACTGCCATTATTGAGGCCAAATTTATCTTAGTCCCAGGTTAGGACAGTTACACTTTAGCATTTTTTCCATCCTGCATTTCATCTTCAAAGGATACTGCAAGACCTAATTAAGGAGAAATCTTGCTTGGGATCAGTTTTGGGTTTAATTTTCAGCAAATTCATAGAGAGGGCAGGATAAATGAAAAGACATATGTCAAGAGCAAAGCCCTCCTAAACCCTACAGTTGAGTTTAGGTCTGGTGTCAGTGACAGCCCATGACTCATATTAGTAACGTATGCTGTATGCTTGCTCTTTATGCAATCCCAGACAACAGCAGTGGTACTTGAAATAATGACCAAACTCTTCCCAACTGTTTTGCTCTATTATCACAGGACCAGAATTGCTTCCTGCTTGCAAAATGTGCGTGAATATTAATAATAGTGGTGATAAACTAAGGCCACTTGAGAATGTAGGTGCAGAGAATGTCATTAGAGCTCTGTGGATAATGGATAAGAGATCACTTCTCCAGAGCTTCCAAGGCCAGATGTCTCTGGCTGTGTGTCCTGTAAGTGGCCCCTGAATGGGAAATGTCACTGAGCTCTGGTGTGCATCCCAAGGCAATTTGGCACAGCCTGGCTCCGACACTCCAGAAAGATTTGCTGCATGTTTGTTGTGGTCTCATGCCACAGCCTCTCCAGCTTTGCCTGGAGCTTGTCTGCACTGCACTCCTTGCTGGTCAAAGCAAAGTTGCTGGTGGTATAATTGTAAACTGTTCTTTCTTCTGTTGTATATTCAGGTTGTTAATTTTTACCCTTGTGTTTCTTCTTCTTTGTGTCTGCAAGCCCTGGATTTCCTTCATTTGAACCAGGTGATCCAAAGAAATCTGAAAAGCTCCAGCATCCTTCAGGGAATGGATGGCCCTGTCAAGTGCTGTAACCACTGTCAAGGGTAGGTATCCTTGGTCAGGCACAGTGTTCCCAGGATGCGGGTGTGGGGCTGCGTCCCAGTGATGACCAGTGGTGCTGGTGAGAATGCCTGGACCCTGCTGCCAGCCGAGAGCAGCTGCAACGTGCAGAGAGGTCTGGAAAAGAGCAGGGTGTCAAGAGGGGCTTGGCTTTGTGTATGTCCCTTCCAGAGGGGAGGGAGTAAGAATCTAACGCTTCAAGTGAATAAATAAAAGCCAGTGCCTGAAATCTGAGGGTATCTTTAAGTGGCCAGTTGCATATTTCTTTGGCTCAGAGGACTTTTGCAATTGGATTCAGTAGTAAATTCGCAGACCTATAGCTGGGAATTCTTTTGATTTTTAATTCCAGCTAACTCTTGACAGTGTTTATTTTCGTCCTCAGCTGATTTTGGCTTCTGCACTCAGCTGACCCCTGAGCAGGATCATCAGACCTCCATGGTGGGCACTGCTCACTGAATGGCCCCAGAAGTTTTGATCAGTTCTCCTTATGGCCCCAAGGTAGACATCTGGTCCTTTGGGATAGTGACCCAGCAATGGGTGGAAGGAGAACCTCCTTACTTCAAACAAACTGGAAGATGTCCAAGTGTTTGCATAGGCCTGTGTGCCCAGGGTGGCTCTGCACTGGGATGAGCCACTGGATGTTTGTGCACACGATGGAAAGAATTTCCCAGAGCACTCAATGAAATTGGCTGTCAGGGCAAGCTCATTTGCATGCAGCTTGGCTGCATCAGGGTTTGTGTTTTATTGTTGGTATAGAAAAACGATCTCTGAGCAGCATCTCTGCCTGGGAGGACACTGGCCCTGGAGCCTGGGGCTCAGGACCTGGGGTTGCTTTGAGCAGCTGTGGGTGAAGGGAACTGGTGCAGTGTTGTGTTGGCTTTTCCCCCAGCTCACGCTCTGATGGGGCAGAACGGGACCTGGCGTTGCTGCAGGAATTGCTCAGCGCAGCCTGGAGCTGGGTGATGAGCCGTGCTGCTCTGCCTGGGAGCTGCTGCAGGTGAGTGGAGGGCAAACAGCGGTGCAATAGTGGGGTTTTCCTGTCCGACCCCCGTCCTGTAATCTGCAGTCTTGGTGCTTTGCAAACTGAGAGCAAGCAGAATGAATCCTAGACTGGTTTGGGTTGACAGGGGCCTTTCAAGATCATCTGGACCAGCTGCCCTGCAGTGAGCAGGGCCATCTTCAAGCAGATCAGGTGGCTCAGAACCCTGCCTGACCTAACCTTGAGTGATTGCAGGGGTGAGGCACTTTCTGCATCTCTGAGCAACTTCTGTCAGTTACCCCATTCTCCTTGTAAAAAAGTTTTTCTTTACATCTTATCTGAGTCTGCTGACCTTACCTTGAGTTTAAAACCACTCTCCCTTGTCCTATTGCAACAGGGCCTGTAAGGAGCTTGAGTTTGGAAAGGAACGTTTCATTCCTTTATGTTTTATGCTTTGGGCAGCATCCATTTTTAGCAGCCAAGCCTCTCTCCAGCCTGACACTCTGATCACTGCAGCAAAGCAGTTGAGGGAGCAGCAGAGATGCAGCACTAGAAGACGCTAGTTAGAATAGTTAGTTTGTTATGGTAGTTAGGACAGCTAATTTGATATGCTAGTTACGACAGCCGGTTTGTTAAGCTAGTTAGGACAGCTAGTTTGTTATGCTAGCTAGGACAATTAGTTTTTTATGCTCGTTTTTTGAATAAAAACTCTTAAACCTCAACTCCCTTGAAGTATCCCTTCCTTATCACCCTATGATTCAGGTGACCGGGGCAATGTGAGGGGAGAGCTGAGCCCTGGCAGGGCCCAGAGCAGACTCAGCATCTGCAAAGCCAAGCTGGAAGGAAGCTTCCAGGAAGTTTGGCAAGGAGATGCGATCCCAGCATACACATTTGGTGGCCACCTGCGAGCCCAGAGAAGCATCGGTCTGAGCTCGCTGCCCGCCTCGCCACTCTCCGGGGGTCCCCGAGCAGGTGCTGCCGAAGCTCCCCAGCAGGGATCCCACTCTGTACTGGTCCTGCAGGGCTTCCTTCGGCTTCCCTGTGGCGAGACGCGTCTGCAGCTTTCGGCCCGGCTCCAGGGACGGCCCCCGACCGCCCCGGGCCCGGCTTCTCTATCGGGTGCCGGCGGCCGAGCGGTGGAGCTCGGGCCGGGGACCTCGGGAGGCGCGGGAGTGTTCGCGGCTCGTGTCCCCTATGGAGCAGCGGCGAGCCAGGCGGAGCCCCGGGACAATGGGCCAGCTCCAGATGTCATCAGCTCCGCTGGTGCCCGCCCAGCAGCGCCGCAGCCTGAGCGGCCAGAGCCGGGCGGAGGCGGGACGGCCCGGGGCGGGGAGGGAGCGGGACACCGGCAGGGACAGGACAGGAGGAGGAAGCGCAAGAATAACAGCGGGAGCGGGGCCGGAGAGTCACTGCTGATGCCTCCGCCGTGCTACCGGAGGCCGCGGCCGTTTGTCCGCTGGTCCGAGTGTCCCTTGGTCCGTCAGTCCGGTCCCCACTGGCTGAGCCCCGGGGGCAGCACCGGCCACGCGGGGCCGCTGAGTTGGGGCGGACGCGCCAGGCTCGTCCGTGCATCATTTATGCATCATTTGAGCCTAATTAAAGACGCCGTGATTGATAATTGACAATGGATACCTGTCCCCCTTAGGTTTGAACTATCTAATGGGAGGCTAGGCTAGATACCTTTATGAGGGCCTACATACGCTGATTCACATTTTCTTGAATATAAAAATCCTTAATTGATTGTAAGAATTTTAACCGTGGTAATGCACAAACTTGCCGCAAGATGGCAAGTTATGACTGCATTAGGCACCTCATACCTCACGTCTCTAGCGAGGCAGTCACCAGGAGAAACCAAACTATGATCACTGGGATGGGGAACGAATGTTTACAAGAAGCATTTTATGAAATCTAGGTTCTTTTTCTCAAGATTAAAAATAGTTTCGAATCTATTCCTTTGCCTTTTAACTTGCTAGGGTTCTCTGACACAGGAGGGCTATTTTACACAGTAGTTTCTGGTTTGTTTGTTTTAAAAAGCAAAAATAAAAATTGAGACAAAAATTGAGATTGTGTTTCTTTAACATACTTAAGTATTTTGGGAATTATTTGTTAAAAAGTAATGCATTTCTGTTTATTGTTTCTTTTTGTCGGAGACACACGAGTCAAAAGCTGGAGACCAGTGATTGTATTTAAGAGCAGGAATACAAGAACATTCCTACCTCTCCGTTGCTATTCCCTGTCTGATCCTTACACTATCATTCTTACCAGTGGAGGAAATCTGTTCAGTTTTGGCCAATGATGCCTCACAGGTAAAATTCATTTAGAGAGAAATTACCCATCAAAATATGAGGTAATATTGTTGCAATAAAGCAGCTGGGACTCAGTTTCTTCATGCAAGAGAAACCAATTCTTTATTCACATAACTCATTTTATACAGTTTTTACAGACTTTGTGTTCAACTCCAATTGGTTAGTAGTTTACTTACCACTTACTCTATTGGTTAGTAAAAGGCATTTTGCTTGTCCATCAAGTCTCTTGGTTCTTTCATTGTTTACATACCTTCACTGATTCTCATGGTATAGTTTCATTGTTAAGGTGCCACTTATTTTTCTTGTTCACTTTTATTCAACAAGAATAGATTGTTGTGCAAACAAATTCTCATTCTCAAGATTTTTTCACAGGAGAACTTAGCTAGCTGCACACAGAAGAAGTAACAAGCCAGTTGGTAATGTAGCAGAGCACTGCCTGATTTTCTAAGGCCTTTCTTTTATAACATCTTTTACCTGTCTGTAACATAATGTAATTACTGAATAAAGGCAATTATTACACATCTTACAGAGGTAATATTTCAACAGAAAGGGGGCTACATTCTACACCTTGTTAAACCAAGTCTCGATCAAAACACTTGAAATCAATTTAACAATGTCAAGGCTGTTTATCAAACCAAAACTGCTGAAAGGCAGGGCAGGGGAGAATACATGTAAAAACCTGGAACAGCAAGTGTCCAGGTTAGGAATCAAGAATGAAACCCTGGTTACATTAAAGCCTCATGGAATTCTGCCTTCAATTCCATGGCTTTCCAGATCTTACTTGCATGTAGTGTGAACCACCTCTGTCAACATTTATCCCTGGCCTGTTTGTTACTTTCTCCTCAGGTAATGTCTTGCAGTTCATCTTGTCTGTTAGGATTTATTCTACACAACAGAAATCCCCTCAAACTGCTGAGACCAAGCTCCCCCAGCAAGGAATAACATTTTCTACACTCTGAATCTGAGTGACAGCAAGTATCACAGTACAGTGCATCCATTCACGGATATTTACATCATTTCTATCCAGCCCTTCATCTTTCAGCATCACTTAACTGACTCAGTGACTAAGCAGCACTGCCAAACCCCCGTGACAGTGACGAGCAGTGATAACCAGCCTGCTGACAGCCTTTCTCATGTGGACTTCTGGGCTTGTTTAAAGAGCATCATGAGCAATACTACACCTTTGATACAGCTCCATTGCTGCTGGCTTAGCTGAGATAAACCTTGAAGGTCAACGAAAACGTAGCTCTGTTTTTGGAATAATAGGGTGTCTGTCTGGCTTTATTCCAGTCCATGATAACTGTCAAATCAACTTCAACAGAGCCAGGGTTTTATTAAGGGCTTAACTTCAAAGGCCATAAAGCATCAACTACTCACAGGAAGTTGAGGTGTTGGTGGTCTGTCTTGCTTCCTGTGAAAAGACAGGAGAAATTAGGAGAGGCTGAGCTCTAAATTGCTAGAGAAGATAAAATTATTTATGCTCTTCATTCATAAGTTCATAATTTGTTAACTCCCTGCTTCCATGTGTTCTGGTTTCTCTTTACAGCATGAAATGCTTCACTTCTGTTTGGGTACATACAATATATATTTACAGAAATCAACAGATACAGGCCTTTCTTTCCACAGAGATTTGCAAAAGGTGCAGTTATATCTACATGTTTTATATTTAGAACACTCTGTATTCTGCCCATTTCTGAATTATTCAGTAATAGTTCTCTTTAGTTACAAGAAACAAAACCTTTATATTTATGTACAGATAGAATTCCATTAACTGTAGTTATATTTAAGCCTTTTGCAGTTAAAGACATTTAATCCCAAATGCTAAGAAAAAGTCTTTGGAGACCATTAATTTGAAAATTCGTTTACAACTTTTGAATAGGATCTGAGGATACTAACTTCCAACCCTGAGAAAACCACCTCACTTTTTATTTGAATTAAACTTTCATGGACTCAAAATCCAATTTAAATATTCATGACATATATGCTCCTTATTTAGGGAGAAATGCATGCATTAGAAGGCATATTGATTAAACTCAATGTAATTTTAATGGAAACAGGTAAACACTTGATTAGCAGCCAGTAAAAATCTGTTTTAATTTACATAAAACCTTATCTTCTCTTTGAACCCATGGTCTAGCTCATTTAACTTTATGTTGCTTGACATAAATAATTTTAGTATTGTTATAACATTGCTAGTGACTTTCAGCAGAATCTCATCACATATTCTGACACAGGGTTTACAACTTTGATATTAAAAGAGAAGTTAAATACTAAAGGGTGAAGAAAAAGAGGTAGTTTTTGCTACATATTTAATTTTTAAATTGTTTGTGCTAAATTGCCAGTAATTGTTTTCTTGAACTTCTTGGTTCCACAATATCTCTTGCTTTATCAGCAAGCCTGGTTTAGCACATAAGAATTGCAAATAACATATTTCCAGTAATAATGAATTCAATATGTTGCTCTCAGTAACAGCCATGCAGCAAGTGAACAATGTCAGCTAGTGAACAATGAATGTCATTGTGTGTGTGTGAACACAGACAGCGCCAGTCACAGCTGTCATTAATTTACTGCTTGTAGCAGAAATAACCTGACACCCCAAGAAAATGATTTGGCAAAAAAAGAAAACATTTCAGAGTCATCACTCAAGGTTCCAGCAGAGTTGACTGGGAAAACAGTTCTTTTTGTTTGTTTGTTTTTAGACTGAGCATTTGTGCAGTGGCATCTTTCAGTTTAGGACTCCGGATATATCAAACAAAACAATAAGTTTTAGCATCAGCTATCAAATTCTTATTTAATATGTAAGGTTCAAAATGCAGAAATGAGACAAATCTTCCTTTTTGTCAGAAATCAATATCTAATTTACCTTAGCAGTACTTCAGAAGCATTGGAAGTTATCACTAAAGCGGGTATCTGTGCTAGCTCATTCACAACTTATAACTCAAAAATCTATTTTAAAGACATGTTATGCAGTATAAAATATTACACACAAATGAGCTCAAAACAACAGGAATATTTTTCATTAGCAACTCTCATCTCAGAAAGATCATCTTGTCTATGCATTAATTCCACTGCCCTTTGTGCAAATGACTTTAGATCCTGTGTGCTCTGGGTCAGTGCAGTACCAAGAGCTGAACAACAGGCCCAAGCCAAAGCTGACCTCTAGATGAACATTCCAACTAAATGTTATATATGTAGTTGTTCATTAACAAAGTATTGTTATATATGTTCACTTACTGGCAAAACATGTTCACCTTTATGTGTCTAGAAACAGGATAAGGCCACATCTGGCCTAATTAGGGTCCTTGAGCCCTGGCCAGGCTTTAGGAGAAAGCTGGCAGGAAAATTATATTAGAAATCATATCAGCTGGTTTGTTTAGCGTTGTAAAAGCTGGACCACTGTCAGAGCAAAGTGGAGG